GGACGTGGCGGAGCGGTGAGTGGCGCGGCGCCGGGCGGTGGCGCGAACCGGGACGACCGCGGGCGGCTTACGTAACCTGCGGCTCGGACAGCTGGAGCTGGGGTCCTGCGCCAGAAGTAGCCGGCCTGAGAATGGGTGCAACTCGGCAGAATGCAGACGGGACCACGCGCTGACCCTCTTCCAGACTCACACTGCTGCCCCCATTTCGCAGGTCTAGGCACAGAGGTCGGGAAGATTAGTTAGGCATCTTGTCGGAGGGTGCAGAGCCGTTGAGAGATCGCCACACCAGACTGCGTTTCTTTAACTGAGTTTTTTTATCCGCCACCCCGCCTCCACTCCCGTGATGATGTCCAAGGGGGCTGGGGTCACTGCAAATGTCCCTAGGATACAGAGGGTCCCTTGAGAAGCGGTTTCATGCTCTGAGTCCAGAGAGTCAAGTCTGTCCCTGGGGAAGGACCGCTGTTAGGCGCTGACCCCCTGCGTGGGGGAGGGGTTAAGCAGAGAAAGCCCCCAGTGCCAAGTCACGCCTGGGGACCCCCGAGGTCAGAGGAACCACCTTGTCCACCCATTTTGTCCTCTGTGGCATCCTTGCCAGTACCACTGTCTCCAGATGAACTGGGCGTGTGGCGGAGGGAGGGGGGTCCACTCGGAGTTGGAGCAGTCACGTCATCTTTTGGGACATCATACCTTGGCTGTCAAGCACAGACATGGACCAAGAGGTGGGCGGTGGCCTGCTTCCCCTGCAGAAACCCTGGTTGCCAGGGTTTCTGTAACGTATACACAAGGAACCAGTTTGGAAAGGTGATTCATACAGAACAAGAGAGCCAGAAGGCTCCCTGGAAATCTTCCAGGGTAACCCCTAGCTCAGCGAGGCACAGACACAGGCTGGCAGGCTGCACCACTGTAAAACCAGGCCTGGCTGTCTCAGGATCTGTTTCTCCTCCTTGGTCCACATGCTTTCTAGAGGTGCAAGCGGGAAGAGGACTTGTCCACACTACCTTACTCTGTTGGGTCTAGGTTGGATTTGACTGATACGGGATCCAGAGTCTACCTGAAGTCTTGAATTAATAAATCGGGTTTTTAAATCACACAATCGCTTTCTGTAAGTTGTTGAAATCAAATGAAGCCAGGGACTCCTTTATTTTAGTGGTAGCTGCACAGGGTGCCAGCGTGGAATGGCACTGTGGGTGGTTGCAGGCAGTTATCTGTCGCTGTCATCTCGGTGTGATTCACTGGTACAGCACTAATGCAGCTCGTGTTTTCTGTGGAGGTCAGAGTGCTGGGGGGGGGGGACGACCCCCAGGGCGGGGGACCCCCCAGGGCCTCAGTTTCCTCATCTGAGGCAGTCTCTGAAATCTGATTTCAGTTCAAGGGTTTGGAGGAGTTCCGCATCTGTGGGCTGTTTTCTCAGTGATAAGACGTTTCTGAAACTCTCTGCCTGGTGCCACATCGCGTCACCGTGTAAGGCATATCTGGTGTGCTTAAAGGAAGTAGGAAAGGCTCCTGTTGCTATATGGCTTCTCTCAAACACTGAACCTTCTAGAAAACCTTGGGAGGTGTGGGGCTTTTCATAATGGTATGATTTCATTCAATCTCAGCGGCCCCTCAGCTCCAACACTGGGAAGTCGATGAATGATTAATGGGGGCACAGAGGCAGAGGAAAGAGCCACACTAGGTGTTGGTGCTGCCCTTGAAAATGGCTGATTAGGTGACTAGAAACACATAACCCACAGCCCTGTGGAGCCCCTCTAACCCTTGTGGGAAGCTACCTACCAGCAGACTCTTGGGAGAACAAGCAAGGGTAGATCCTCTGCTGGCCTGTTCCCAAGCCAGGGTACGCCCCTCTGGGGAGCTGGCCCTCATGTGAAGTATAATGGTAACAAACCGGTCACTGTAGGCAACTCTAGAGTCTAGAGCAAGACAGAAGTAGGGAGAGAGGCCACACGATTGACTTTTTTAAAAAGTGATATTTGTGTGTGTGTGTGCGTGCACGTGCGCGTGTGGAGGTCAGAGGTTAACTTGAAGGAGTCAGTTACAGGGATCAAACTGAGATCAACAGTCTCTGCAGCAAGCGTCCTTACCCACTGGACCATCTCACCATCCTCACGTAATTATCTTACCACAGTGGGCTGTGTGAAGAAACAGGGCCTGTTCACTGCAACACCTGGTTAAATAGGATCAGCACAAGTCCCCAAGGGCAAAGGCCTGGGCCTCCTAGACCTCACCAGTTTTCAACTAGCTCCTCCTACCTCAGCCATCACCAGGGCCTGACATCCTGGCACATTACTGTTCTACAGCTTGGTACTTCAACATAGGTAAGGACTAAAAAGTGTGTGTGGGAGTCCTTGTAAGGCACTGCCCCGCCCGTGTGCCTCCTTCCCCTCCTTATTTGGACAGCCCTGGCCACATTTTCCTCCGTTACCCAACCGTCACCATGGAGAGCGTGGCTGTTTATTTAACAGGACAAACATTTTCTCCGGATTACAGCAGCCAGGCCCCAGGGAGTTGGCTTCTACCAGGAAGTAGAAAACATGTTATAATATTTGAGGTTGTAAAATACCATGAGGCTTGCAGACTCGAGGTCCTGGCTGTCAGGTCCCTGTTATATAAAGTCAGGAAACATTCAGAGTTTGCTGGCCTATGATTAGCCAGGTTCAAGCTGTTCTTGCAGACTAGTTAGAGGGGCGTGTTCAGTTCAGGGACACATACCAAGTTGGGACCTTATGATGTCTGTGTCTGTACTTTGAAGGAAGTAGGTTCTTTACTGATTTTCATTTCCCTCAGAAAATGTATTTATTTTCCTCTTAAGCAGGAGACAGGGAGTTGATGTGTTATGTTCCTGATAGCACTGGAAGCTGGCGTTTTGTCCAGGCTCTGCTTTCCAGGCCCTGTTTTTTCATGCTTGTTTGTCTTTTTTTTTTTTTAACTAGTTATAATGGAAAGTATAGCTAACTGCAATACTGTGAGCTCCCAGCAGCCAGCCTGCGGTACCCTCTCCCACCCCAGTCTCATGACCCTCTGAAGTTTCCTAATGTGCCTCTCTCTGCCTGAGGAGAGTGAGCATGGCCGAGTGACCGGGTCAACAGCCCAGCTTAACTCCTGGCCTTAGGCTGACTTCTGTCCATGGGCGAGGCCAGTGGGTGGCTATGGGAAGGTGTGGGCTTAGGCCAAGAGGGTCTCAGCCAAGGTCTCCTTCTCCCTCCCAGAATCCTCCCTGAGACTGTACTGTTTCCAGGGGCTCCCGCCCATCCAGCAGGGCTGGGACAGAGTGCTTGACCAGGAGGCAAAGTCTGCTTGGACCAACAGCTGGTTCTGCCAGCTTGGCAAACTGATGTCAGCCCATCAGAGCCATTCATGCTGAGCAGTCCATTCTCTGGAATAATGAGGTCTTGGAAGACTTAGCTTCAATTTGTTGCCTTACATTTCTGCCATTCTTGCCTGGCCCTCTTTTTCGAAAAAGTTTGTCTTCCTCTCTAAGGTAACCTGGTGGCAACAGTGACCCTGTTCACATAGACACACACACCCCCCCCCCCAACCACACACACCCCAGAAATTGATACTGCCAGGCACAAACTGGGAGTTCCAGGAACTGACCAACACAGAACATCCAGGGTACACCAGGGGTGCAGTTGGGTACAATGGGGTATGTGTCCCAGTCCTTTGTATGCAAGCCAGAGGTGCTACCAGCTTGCTCCACAGTGAACTCCCTCACCCTACCCCAGTTACTGTGTGACTTGCCTGTACTTTCCTGTCGTGATTTAGCTCCAAGATGGAAAGCTGTTCCTTGTCACTCATGTGTCACATTCCTGATACGTCAGACTGTTTAATCCTCCCAAGTGCCAGCAAGAAGGAGGAATTCTTTTTATTCCCATCATAGAGGTGGGAAAACATGGCCCAGAGGCTAAGAAACTTGTCAAGATCACATAGCCTGGAAGAGCGGAGGACGACAGAAAGCTTGGCCCCCTTGGACTGCTTGCCCAGCTGCCCTGCCGCCGCTGCCGCTCCGCCACCTTCAGAACCTAAGGCAGAAAAGATGGGCTGCTCACCTGTGGGGAGGACTGTGTGGATGAGATGGATGGGGTCTAGAGTCCTAGGGGTCAAGAGGGAACACATCCTGGTGGCTTCAGGAGGACGGCACGCCCACCCTGAAGGCCTGGAGTCAACACAGGCGGTCAAGTGACAAGTCTTCATCAAGGGTGCCCGTGCCGCTAGGACCTCCTGCCCCTCTCTCCCAGTCCCCACTCACAAGCCCTGACCCACTGCTCCTGGATGCCCCCCAGAAATTTTTCATATCCAATGTGCTCTAGTTGGTCCTTGTTGGTCCCCCATGTTCTGGGTGAACCCCAGGAGCGCTCTGTGCTCTGTTGTGCTGGAAGGCTGCTCTAGCGGTCACTGGGAAGCAGTGCCTGCATGTGTGCCCCAGTGGTTTTGGTGTGATTACCTGGGCTCGTCCTGGACTCCTACAGCACTTTCATTGTGGGTGTACAATTTGGGTGTTCTGGTGTTCTAGGCTCTACTGCTGGGCCTCTTTCAGTGGGTGCACAGTGTGTGGTGAAGAGTTCTAGACTATGCTAACCCCCTCTTCCTGGCAGAT